AGTTCAACAAGGCCAAGTGCAAAGTCCTGCATGTGGGTTGGGGCAATCCCAAGCACAAATGCAGGCTGGGTGGAGAATGAATTGAGAGCAGCCCTAAGGAGAAGGACTTGGGGGGATGCTGGTTGATGAGAAGCTCGACATGACCCAAGAATGTGTACTTGCAGCCCAGAAAGCGAACAGTGTCCTGGGCTTCATCAAAAGAAGCGTGGCCATCGAGGGAGGTGATTCTCCCCCTCTGCTCTTGTGAGACCCCACCTGGAGTACTGCATGCAGCCCTGAAGTTCTCAGCACAGGAAGGACATGGACCTGTTGGAGTGAGTTCAGAGGAGGGACACAAAGATGGTCAGAGGGCTGGAGCACCTCCTGTATTGAGGACAGGCTGAGAGAGTTGGGGTTGCTTAGACTGGAGAAGAGAAGGCTCAAAGGAGACCTTAGAGCAGCCTTCCGGTAACTAAAGGGGGCCCACAGGAGAGATGGGGAGGCACTCTTTATCGGGGAGTGGAGTGTTAGGATGAGAGAGAACAGTTTTAAGCTGAAAGAGGGCAGATTGAGATTAGATATTGGGAAGAAAATTTTTACTGTGAGGGTGGTGAGACACTGGAACAGGTTGCCCAGAGAAGCTGTGGATGCCCCATCCCTGGAGGTGTTCAAGGCCAGGCTGGATGAGGCTTTGAGCAACCTGGTCTAGTGGGAGGTGTCCCTGCCCACGGCAGGAGGGTTGGAACTAGACGATCTTTAAGGTCCTTTCCAACCCAAACCATTCTATGATTTTATAACTTCCTAACCTTAAATCAAACCTCTAACTCATTAACCTAACAATCTGAAGAGCTCATTTGGGCTCTGTTTCTGCAACAGATCTACTTCCCCTATGTTAAACCCATGAGTCCTTCATTTGCAGCAAACTCGTTAATTTTTGTGATATTTTCTAGGTTTTTCCTTTAGGATCACTTATTTCCTTTGGTTGTCCAGAACTGTAAAGTTCTTGTAGCTGCCTAGGCTAGAACTCTGGTGCTTTTTGCTGTAAAGGGCTTACATCTGGAGTAGTCATTCTTCTCCTTTCTTTTGTGACGTTGTTTGTAGTGTTCTCTATTCAAAAGCAATAATGAAATTATGGATACAGAGTGTAAGCAGCATCCATCTTACCCTGCTGGTGTCAGTCCTTTTTTTATTTTTTTTGGACACCAGAGGGTGCTGTGAATCCATGTGTGCTTTGCTATAAATTCTTCAGGAGGATACACTCAATGTATGTGGATATCGGCTTGTCTACTTGTGGCTTGGTGGTGGCGGTTGTAGTTTGGCTTTTTTTAGTAAGGGTTAGGTTTTGAGGTGGGCGGGTTTGCTCCTCTGCTGTTGGACTGGATCAGATCACTGGCCTCTTTCAACAGTCTGTCACACAGAGTGGCAGGCACTTAAATGCCACAGCAAGTAAGGAGGCTCTTAGTGTTAGAGGAAGCTTGGTGTTCGGTGTGGGTGCTGAGGGAGCTTGACTATGATCAACGTCAGTAGCTCAGGTTCTCTTATTTGCAAAAATGTGGAGCTGCCTAGACAGAATAAGCCTGCTCATTGCAAACAGGGCTGGGTCTTCCAAAGATGACAACTGAAATACCTCACCCAGACACTTGGAAGAAAAACTGCTAGCTGTAATGGTGGCCTGTCTGTGCAGTGTGGGGCACTGAATGGCTTTTGGGGGAATAAGAGGAGTTAAATGTTCTCCACAATGTGCTTCTGTTGAACTGCAGCAGACATGAAGCCCTATATGAAACAACTTCTGCAGCTATTGACTGTGTCCTGTAAATCCAGAGATGAACCTTTTGCGCCTACATAGATATTCCAATCTTTATTTCAGCTCACCTTTCCCAAATTCAGCCGGCCTCACTGCTATTCATTATTAAAGGTTATTTTGCTGTGGTGGGATAGGAGAGAGGTAAAAGTAATGATTTCCATTCTCAAAACAGTGGAAAACATTGGATTAAAATTGCTTGGAGGAAGTTCCCTGATGGATGGATACAGACTGTTAGAAGTTTCAGTGATGCTTAGAGAACAGTTAGCCTGTGGAAACAGAAATATATGTTACTGGGAGGAATGTTGGGAATGTTAGAGAAATTTAGCCCCATGTTGACTTTGCTGTGACTGTATATTTCCATCATCTAGTTTCAAGGAGCACGTTATTCTGCGTGAGGTGGACCTTGCTATTGCAATCTCTGTGCCAGGCCCTTTCAGACCTCTGCTGGTTCTGTGGGCTGTTTGTAACACACCCTTAAACGGTGGCCCAGCAAACAGTCAGGTGGTACTTGACCTCAGGGGTGGGGAGGGCAGAAGGTTACGTGGCCTTTAAAAAGACTTAAAAAGCCCTGACAGCAAAGTCCCCATTGGGTCATAGATAGCAGGTGACTTGGCGAGAAAAGGTTTGAGTACAAGTAGGCTTGTGTTCTGTGTTTTCGGGCCCTAAACAGTGGATCTGTAAGGCAAATCCCATTGCCAGAAGGGAGGGAGGGGGACTTCCACCTGGACGCACTTCGTTCTACCCAAAATGAGACATTGGGCTGCTGCTGATTTTTGTATACCTGTGGAAATAAACGTTTTGATTCTTGGTTGTTGTCGTCTTGACTTGGACTCAGCAACGAGAGAGAATTCTCTGCAGCAAGCTCTGGATGGGAAGCAGTGATCCATGCAGCAATGAGGGAATGGTTTCAGGAGAGATAACTGAGGAGAAAAGATGTAGACATTTGGGTATGCAAGCCCTGTGCATTTGAAATAGTATTTATTTGCTCATTCAAAGTCAGATATTAAGCAGTTCTTGAATTTAGTATTTTAAATCTATCTCTCTTTTATTTCCACAGACCAAACCGTGCTCTTGACTCCTGTTCATTTGCTCGCCACATGCTCTTACAAACCCTCCACCAGCTGTAAGAGACAAGAGACGTGCTTCTGTGCCCTTCCTTCCTCATAGGACTGTTGTCAGCAGAGAACTCGGAGCTTCTTGGTGGGAGAGGATCCCTGAGCCCACACAGACATGCTGTCCTTTCTTTTTTTCTTGTGCCCTTTTTGTTTTTGTTTTGGTTTGGTTTTGGTTTTTTTGTCCTTTCCCTGTAGGATGTCTGTCCTTCCTTCTGCTTTCACACACTTGAACAAATCCTGCTGATTTTTTTTTTTTTTCTGCTCCTCATGAAGTGACTCCCTGGTCTGCAGGGCAAGTGCTTATGCTAGAAGAAGCCAGTGCTGCTCCGAGCTCTGCATGAATTGAAGAGTTTTCCACTTGTCACATTGGCAAAGGTGTGCCAAGACTAATGCAGGGCCCAGAAGTGCTCTCATCAGGATCAACCCAGTTGTGCATTTTATTTTATTTTATTGGACTGTGACTCCTGCCTGATAGCATTCAGCACTGTGTGGGAGGGAGGCTACGCTGCTGCTGCTGCCCCTGCTTCTCCAGGCCTGGGGAGTGCTTGACCCCTTTCTGGGTCAGAGGGGCAAGGTGTGCTGCCCTTTGTTTCTTCTTTCAAGTCCATTTGTTGAAGGCAGTGTGTGGCTGATTTGTATTTTAATATACTTCTCCCCTGCTGCTGTGGCTTGGAATATTCGTGTAGTGTGTCTGACCCTGGTAGCCATTGCTTAAGGGAGCAAGCATATTTTATTGTAAATTTTTTTTGCCATTGCCTGTATTTGTTCCCTCTTCCTACCCTTTCCTTGTCCCTTTCCCTTCTCTTCCTAATTAAATAGGCTTAGTTTGGAAATGAATACAATCCATGAAATCCCTGTGAAAGAAGTGTTTCCTTTATTCTCCCTTTGATAAAACACTGTGTTCCCTTTATTCTCCCTTTGATAAAACACTGTAAAGCACTATTCATGTGTTTGAAAGCTAAGCACCTGTAAGAGCACAGAGAATTAGGGCTGTGCTTTTTGTGCTGAAGGAGTAGCAGCAGATGCCCCTAAATCTCTGTATGGAAGATTGTCCATGTGCCTACACAGGTTTGTGGCACCTGCCTGTACCACTCCTGAACCTGCAAGCGCACAGGCTCATCCTGCTCCCTCTTCTTTCCAGCCTCTGATAATCAACACATCTCCTTCTCTTTAGGTAGCAAAGAGTTCTTCCTTCCCTCTCTGTATTCAGTTGGATGAGGCTGTTCATCCCCTTTTACCAGACCTTACAATCGACAGGCACTGTAAATGCAGCCAGTGCCAGGAAGAAGTCAAGGCGATGGAGTTAACTGGCCCTTTGCTGTGAGGGGCAATATATATGCCACAGCTGGCAGGGTGCGTGTGCTTGGCCTTGATGCAGGAAAAGGTGGTGTTAACTCCCAGGGTGTGCAGGCAGCATTGACAGGACAAAGGGCTTGGGGCACGGGATTGAAATAAAATGTGTGGTATGTGCAAGACCTACTTGTGCACACTCTGCTTGCATTCTTCCAGGTTGTGGGCCTGTTCCAGGCAAGCATTGGTGAAACTGGGGTGGCTGTGGGAAGTTTTGTGTGGCTATCATCCAGCAGGCACAGGAAAGCAGCGTCTCTCGTCACTCTGGCAGAGGAGGTGTGGGCCTTCATGTAAGAGCAGTGATCAATCCCTCATCAAGTAAAAGGCTGGCCTAAGGCTAAAAGCAAAATGTGTTTTCTGCCAGCTTCTGGGACTGGAGCTGGAACTCCTCTCTGTCCAAATGGGTAAAAATCCACTGAAGTGAAGGTACCTGCACCTATAGAAGGAGCTTCAGTCTCTGCAAGCCCAGCCCTGCCTTCTTCACCTCATCCCATCCCGTTCATTCAGTTGCCTGTTGCAAAAGCAAATCTGTAAAGTTTTGCCATGAGCTTGAGGGCAAAACTGAGACATAAAAGAATCTTTATTTTCTGTAAGTCTTGAACCTAGTGTAGCTTTCCTTGAAGCTCCCTGCCCTCTTGTTGCTCATTATGTCCCTCTGCCCTGGAGGAGAGTCATGGAGAAAAGGAAGGTGATGCAGAGACCAAGCCAAGGAGTTAACCCGTCTGCAATGGGTCCCCTGGAGCATGTCCTGTGCACAAGGCTGCCTGATGGCCTGCGAAGGTCAGAGAGATGCTGCTGCTTGCACAAAGACCTGTGGGCCGGGCCAGGGGGAGAACCTGTGTGAGAAGTCTTGAGTAGCCAAGCCACAGTAGCAGAACAAGTGTGAGATGTTCATCCCTAAGTTTCTTTCAAATGCAAACAATATTTAGAAACAGAATGTCCTGGAGTTCAGTGCCGAAATTAGATGTCTATAGGAAAAAAAGGGTGCGTGAGAGTAGAAGTGACAGTCTCTGCAGGAGAGATTTGCTTCTAGATAGAACATGGAGTCAAGTCCCCTAAAATTGGCTTATGCCTCAGGATTAGGGAAAAAAAAAAAAAAAAAAAAAAAAGGATGGGAATTGCTAACTCTGGTTTCCATTAGAAGTTGCTCCCAGAGGATGACTTCCCAGCGCTGCCCTGGAGGAAGGTGAGTTCATTCCGGTGCTGCTTCAGCCTGTCTCGTGCAACCATCTCACCCCAAAAGCACCGTTGTTGTCAGAGATAGGTTTAATTTGAACTTCATTAGCCCAGCAAGGCACCAGTGATGCAGAGCTCTGTGTGCGTGGTGCAGCTTTGGGTGCATCTGTGAAAACCTGTAGTGGTAGTGATAGGATCGGGCTCCTTGCAGGCAAAGGGGAAACATTTTCTTTAATGAAAAGCAAAAGTGTCTGGCCTGGCAGACATTGGTTAAGCCCCACCCCATGGAAGCTCAAGTGTGCTGCCTTCATGTCCCCTGGCCCGTCAGAAAGACCAAAGACTGGCTGCCTCCCTGCAGCCTTGGCAGAAGCTAAAGCTGGTGAGGTCGTTGCTGGCGAGATCACTGCTGGGTAAATGAACAAACTGTAAGACTGCAGGGAGGCTGGGGAAAGGGCAGGCGTGGCACTTGGTGCCCGGTACCACATCTCAACCTCCCCATGGTCCTCCAGCAGAGCCCAGGCCACCATCAGGGAGGTGTTGCTGGCCGCGTGGGTGGGTAGGCAGGGGTGGGGGCTCCTGGCCCGGGGAGCAGTGGGGGG